CGTGGACCACAACATTTCAAATGTTGTGGTCCTTACGTGGACCACAACATTTCAGTGAGCAACATGGGGACTTCCTTTCAAGATATATTAAAAAAAACTGATTTTTGATGCCTCAAAAATTTCTCTATACTCATTTTATATGGCGTAGCTACACCTATGTAAGAGTAACAAAACTTTCAGACTGAATCAAATGCTTAAATTAACAGGCAATTTTATAATATTATCCCAGAAATAAGCATCAATTAATCTACATCTAGCCCATTCCAGCTTTTCAGCCTGTGATTAGATCATCCTAAGTCTGTTCCAATTTATGCATTATTCTACAATTTAAACCAAATAAAATAAATAACATTATTTTTTCAAGTTTCCCCTAAACACACACATTTTGGACTGACTTTAAAACTACACAATTTGAACAGAGTTTCCAAGTGTAAGCATGTATATTTGGTTTTTCACGTTATGTATTTTTAATGGGATTTTCTTTTATGTATGCATTTCTGTGTGCTGTTTCTGAACTAACAACTTTATATTTTAAAAATTTAGAAAAGTAAGACATCCCATAGGATAATCCCTATAGTCGGAAGTGTGAATTGCACTAGTTCAGTTAAAAATATGGGCAGAGAAACCATGTATGGTAGGAAAATATAAAATTGCAGCCAAAAAATACCCTAGTTTTCTACAAAAATAGTGACAGAGAAGGAAGAAAATTTATATATTTAATATAATAGTACAAGTGCAACTTGTCTCTGCTCACTCAAAGTCATCTGGAAAATCTATTTCAACTGAAATTCATCCCTGGGTTTGCTAATGATAGTTGCTAGATCCCCTCAAATTTTACATGTACTCATAGTTGTGAGTAATTCACCTGTAAAGAAGTAAAGAAAATATTTTCAGGGTCAGAGGAATATTGTACAACTTTGAAACTTCTGTGTGCCATCATAGTTTGATTAAGGTTGACACTTTTTGTTTCCATAAATAAACATTGTCCCATCTACATTTTTAAAATAGGCATAGAGGATGCCATTATTTAGTTATCTAATAGACAGTTGCTGATACCATGTGGCTTTTATAACACTGGATGTCATCAAGCTGGTGCTTTTATCCAGCTGAGCTACATAAATATGGATACTCGTCTGCCAGTTATATGACCTGCTCAAATAGTTTGGTTGGCAGTAGCATATATTATAACTATGAAGTAGTTAAAATCTTAGTCACTCCTGATAGTAACTATGTTTGTAGTTACTAGGACATTATCTGAAAGAATATGGTGAAGCTCTTTTGCAAAAACAATGTTTTGTCAATACCCAAATGGGAGAACCCTGATGCAGATAATTGAACATTATTGTTACAACATATGGTTGGAGTTATCACAAACTACCTTATTCCAAATAGAATAGGATCAAATTTAACTTTCCTTCTAATAACTTCATCAGCAAGTCTAATGGTATAAAAATGAGACCCTTGATGATGTCATGATGTAAATCCTACCCTTATATACCTATGTTTCAAGATATGATGCCGGTATATGACACACCATGACACCCATGCTTCCTTACCAGCAAAATCTAAGTATATATTGTTGTTTTCAATAAAGGCAAAGAAATGAATTTTTGTAAACAAGCAGAATCAAGCTTCTGCCAAGAAAACAAAAAGGAAAAATAATAGCTTCTTTCTTCCTCACGAGCAACTTTATAACATCTTTCAGAGTCATCCTTTATAATTGTTTTTAAATAAAAGTAATAAGGAGAAACTTTAGATTACTACAGTAAACACTGGACAAGTGCTTAGAGAGCATTGTTAGTCACTGGTCATGAAATATTAATGATCCCTTTTGAATAATGTTATTTTGGCAATATATATTGGAGTCTTGTGACAGTGCTTATCACAAGATTGATGTTCTTCAAGAACAATCTTCTGATTTGGAAATATCTTTCAACAACAGCAGAGAATCCACCCCTAACCCTAAGTTGGACCTTTAACATTAGCCATATTGGTCAAATGTGATGGAAACTTAAGTTCAAAATCCATAGGATTATTTCCCTGAAAGTACATTGGATTAAGTAATAGTAGCCTATATTATTATACAATTGTATCACAGCGGCCAGTTGTTTAGCCGGATTTGGCATTGGTTACTAGTCGGGCCTCACCCAGGGGCCTAGGACGTCATAACGTATTTTCGTAATATGCGTGCAGATCCAAGCAGTGNCCTATGAAGCGGTATATAAGTCTAACTGCTATTGCTATTGCTATTAAGCAAGTCAACCCACGATCCTTAAGTGAGACATCACATGACCACAGCTTGCAATTGAGTTTGCTTATCAGAATCTGACTAAAAAGCATGCCCATGTTGATCACGTGGTCATGGACTTTGTGCCAGTTGTAAATGTCCACTGGTTGCAAAGTGCCGAAATTTCGGTCATGCACCCACGAGGACACTGAGAATTGTAAGTGCAAGGACCAATCATAAAGTTACTCTTTAGGGGAGTCATAACCTCAAACGTTTGCTAAACAGGGTATTTGTTAAGCGAGGGCACAACAGGTAAAAGTATACTTCGCTGTGAAGTTTTCTTTCCCCCACAAACTCCTTTTAAGTCAGTTTAATTTATTAATTTATTGTATTTATTCATTCAGTTTCTGTACCTGTCCAACTCAACCAAGTGACTCTGGGCAGTTTACAATTTAGTTGCCTCTGATCTTTTCTACAGGCTGACTATGCTAATTCTGTTCATCTAGTTTCATCTTGTTCCTCTGTTTCAAAAAATAATCTAAGGAACTTTGTTAGCAGAAATACAAAATAATGTTTAATTGATTTTACTTAGAATTGGCTTGCAATAATCTTAATACCCATTTTTCTCACTAACATTGGAAACAGAAGCAGAAGAAAACTCACAGCCTAATAAACACATCTTGACACTTTCCATCTCCGGCTAGCTTCTTCCAGCTTGCATGCAGCCAACAAAGATATTTCCAAAACTATCAAAATTTGATTTTTATATTTATTATAAAATATTTGATATTGATTTATAGGCAGTTCTGAATTAAGAAAAAAATTCTGAATGAAATCTCTTTTTCAGCTACCTCCTTGTGGGACCTGTAATCCACTACCAGCTGAAGGTAAGTTATCTTAATTTGGAGTGAAATATGAATATATGTATTTTTGTGTTGGACAGTTAAGATTGACAATTCCTGTTTTTCATATTAACTTGAATATGCTGAATAAATTTGTACCTTATAGTTTGCTGCATATTGCAAAACAGATTTAAGGACAGAAGCAGTCAATCATTTGGTTGGGATACCACACCTGGCTGAATGTAAGCCAGAGTAAGATATTTATCCATTATGTCTATGCTAAACAGATATAGACCCCTATTTAAGTTGCAGTATTGGTTTTGATGTCTACTAAGATGTCTTGTTTTTTATTAAGAACGAAGTAGGCATTTTAAAGACTAATAATTACAAGAGCATAAGTTCATGAGGTTTAAAATCTGATTTATGTAACTTTGATTAGACTGTGGCAATTTAGTATGATTGCTGTTCTGGAAACTGCATATTGGAAACCAAATGTACGTTCTGTTGCTTTATAGTGCTACAGAATTAAGCATTAAGAAAACCATAGCTGTAAAACTTCCCACATTGAAATCCCTTTGGAACACACAGAAACTCAGCCATCTCGGTTTATGATCCCTTCACTTAAAGATGCTTTCCCTTTCATGTTCTTAATATGTATGGAAAGAGTTTCCCCATACATTGTCGAAGGAATGACTTCCTGATATGCAGATTGTCAGACGTTCACATCATGCGCTGGCAAAGGCTGTTCAGCTAAAACCCATGTCCACTTCAATTTTTTTTTAAAAAAAGTGTATTCAATATGAGTGTTTTTCCCTGGCTTTTCCCGGCTTCTGTCATTTTTCAGAGAAATTGCCTCCGAATGATTTACTTCTGTTAAGCCACTATAATTACTATATAGCTTGAAACAGATTGTGCTGACATTTTGTATTCCCCTATTTCTTTTCTCTCCAACCAGTGGACCGGTGGTTCTTTTGCCATTGAAATTCGACCAAAGGACAAAAGTTACAGAAGCTGCTGCCTACTCATCAAGATATTTGTGCAGAACATTTGTGAAGAACTAGCTGAGAATCCAAAACAATATGTTTATAAATAAGTAATTTATGACTCCCAGTCCACTGTACACATTAAAAAAAGAGAGAGATTAGATGATGTAAAACTCCAACTAAAGTCTTTAAATATATATCGTGAAACTCACAGACACATTCTGTATCAATATTATTTTGTCATTTGCTAGGTTTATCACAGTGTTTTCCAATATAAAATTTTAGGTTTGGGGGGTTTTTTTCTCTGTCAAACAGGTTTATTTTAATATGGTGGGGGAGGAAACCTCACACTGATTCTGAATGCTTAGCCACATTCTCATTCCTTGAATGCCATTTTTAAGTCTTAAGGTACCTTACAAAATTAACAAACCATGGAACTGAGATTAAATGTAGAACCAGAGAATGTAATTTGAGTGGTGTTGCTGTTTATGGCTGCTTCCATTCATTGATGCAGTCAGTAGATAATAAATTAACAGTGTGCTAGGATTTAATGGAAAACCAATATAAAATGACCCAGGTACCAGTCATTATACAAAACAGTGAATAAGCTATAATAGCCTGAGACTGCCCATCTGGTCTCAAACCCAGTTTATTATTATTATGTGGTTAATCTTTGGTTGGTAGCTCAACAGCTCGAGTCCTAATCAAGGACCTAGGAACTGTTAAGGTAACGTTGGAGGATATAAGCTGTTCCAAGTAGGGTGGTTTTTTGTAGAATCAGAATGTTCAAGTCTGATAAATTTAAAACTTCAATGTGCAAGTCTCAGTACTTAAATTAAGTATTTAAATTAAGGTAAGGGTTAGGATTAGGTTTAGGGGGTTGCTTTAGGGTTAGGTTTAGGGTTAGGTTTAGGGTT